ACGGAGGGTTGCGACGGAGGAGGGGAGGAGCAGGAGGAAGAGGAGGAGGAGGAGGAGGAGGTGGTGGTGGTGGAGGAGGAGGAGGAGGAGGAGGAGGAGGTGGTGGAGGAGGAGGAGAAGGAGGAGAAGGAAGTGGAGGAGGAGAAACTCACCGTGAGCGGCTTGTCTGCCTTCTTGGCGGCCTTGTAGCCACCCGGTCGAAGGATGTTGCTGGGAAGTAGACCGAGACCGGCTGTGACTGTCGCCTGCAGAGAAAATGCCAAGTGAGAAAGAGAGGAGAGGACAGGAGGGGAGAGGAGAGGAGAGGAGAGGAGAGGAGAGGAGAGGAGAGGGGAGGGGAGGGGAGGGGAGGGGAGGAGAGGAAAAGGAAAGGTGAGGCGGCTACCAGAGGCCCACGGAGGGTCCAGGGCACGAGTCCATCCCCGTAGTTACGGAAGAGATAATCTACGATGTCGTCGCTTTCGTACATCTTGGTGCCTGTGTTGGGGTCGACGAGGAAGGGAAACTGCTGCTTCCCCCCCATCTCCTGCACCTGCGCCCGGTATACTCCTCCTCCCTTAGGGCAGGGGAGGAACTCGACGTCGAGGTCGAGGATAGCGACTGCCTCCCTGACCTTGCGGCAGAAGGGGCAGGACTCAAACTCGTAGATCTGGAGGGGAAGGGCAGGACGGGGAAAACTACTAGTTGCGCTCTCCTCAGATACCATGAAGCCTCCGAAGCGGAAGACGGAGTAGGAGGAGGGGACGTCCTTCTTGATGCCGATGCTGTAGCCGCTCGCAAAGGCTCCTGAGCCGAACCTGCCGGTGAATGAGGGGAGGAGAAGGAGATCAGGATGTGATGGGAAGAGGATTCCAGTTGGAGAACATGATGATGATGTTTATGGAGATGGAGATCGAGAAGATGAGGGAGGTGGAAATGTTGATGGAGATGCTGATAGAGTTGTTGTTGTTGTTGTTGGTGGTGGTGGTGACTGACAGTGATAGTGATGATGGAACAGGAGACAAACTTGGTTGCAGATATCATATTGTGATAGAAGAAAGAGCAGAACCAGCACATGCAGCAGAAGCACTTGGCACCTAAGAACCGAAGCGAACGCAGCAGTCATCACGTCCTTGAGCTTGTCCGGTCGGACGTAGAAGCGCTGAGCATTGAACTTTCCTCCCTCCTCCATGCCGCTTGGTGAGCTCTGCATGCGCATTCCACTCTCCGCCATCCCTTGCCTGGCAGGGACAGGGCAGGCCACGCTCCGAAGCGAGGTGGGATTCTTCGAGGAGGAGGGGAAGGGGGATCCCTTGAGGAGGAGGGAGGAGGGAGCAAGGCCCGTCCATGCCGGCATGATCATCTTCCCGCTCCTCTTCATCCCCTGAGCGCCTGCCATGGCGAGCAGCAGCAGCAACCCTCGCGCTTTCGTCACCATCGCGTCTTTGTCCTTTATACCTTAAGAGGCCCCCCTCGTCCCCGTCACTGTCACATAGTGCCCGGTCTGGGGCCCGGAAGTTCCGAACTTGAACTTCGGAAGGCTGGGTGAGTCAACCGGCACTGCCGCCGCGGTCACCGGTTGGGCCCGGCGCGGCCCGCCGCCCGGCCGCAAACAACGTTTGCCAGCCTGGCAGGTGAGGGCCCTTGGAGTATCATACGACGGTATTCCTTAGCCTGCCATTCAACTTGCGGCAAGCTTCAACTTCGGGTGACGGTTCCAACCTTGAAAGATCTCGCAGGGCTCTACCCGTACTATCGGCTGAGTGGCCCGGCCCGCGGCGGGCCGCTGCCCGGCCCGGCCTCAGAGTCAGTCACAGTGCCGGCGGCTGGCATGCGACCCACTGTCGGACCGTAGGCTGGTGCCACCGTGACTGACAATGACCTTTACTGCAAACCGTTCAACTTTATTGGATCGTTGAACGTCCCCCGACTTAGAACGTACCCGGTAACGTCGGAGTCCGATGGTGTCGTCACATGCGGCGGCTGTGGGAGTCTTCTCAGCAAGTATCATGTTGTATCCCGGCCGCCAGAACTTTCGGAACGTGCCAGCGGCATCCAGGAGAGGCTCGCCGGCTGAGTCTTCGGACAATGAAACTGCACATCAAGTGTTTCAGATGCTTTCCTGTGCCTTTCGTTTCGCATCAAGATTGTCGCAGCCCAGCTGGACTAGCTGGTCACCGTGACCATGGAGACAACAGACTCTATCTGACTCGGCGATGGTTGCCAGGACGGTATCAGATCGTGCAGCCTACATCCCACTCGATCTCGCCATCTCGATCCGGCCATCTGGTATTCAGGGATCCCCTTTCAGCTGAGAAAGGCGACAGCGCAGAGGCGAGACGAGCATGTACTGATTCCATGCAAGAACTTCACGGACTAGGATCCGATGGCGACTTGACTTGTAGGGGGAACAGCAGCATGAGCTATGACTCCTTCATCACCAGGTGCGCGGCATCGGTGTACAAGAGCCCATAGTTCTCGCTTCCAATACTCTGCAGGAGGCGCCCGTAGATCGACGATGTCCTCCGACGCGCGATGTGCGGGTTCTTCGGCATTTGTACTGCCTCGTTCTTGGATGGTTCACTCGAGACGCGCTTCCAAACAAGCTGCCTGCCCAGGAATCTAAACCAGCCCATGATTGAGTTGAATATCAGCATGCAGAAGTCGAGGATTTTGAGCCAGATGCAGTCTTCAGGACCGAACGCAAGCGAAGAGTCTGTCAAGTTCTCCAGTGTGATATGCGGGGGAACAGACGACTGATAAGACGAGGGTGATTCCATCTCATTGCTGCAGTCCCACCCTTCGTGTACATCCAAGACATCTCTGCATTTCGCGGGTCCTATGGCCTTCGAAAGCTCTACGAAGAAGTATTGATCAGCTTTGGTGGGACCCCTTGATCTCCTGTGGGACGAGTAGCTGCTATCCTGCCGAGATGAATCGCTATTCGACGACGTGACACTGTTTGACATGGCAGTTGCAGTTGAGGTAGAGTGGAGTACAATTTCGGAAGTCCTGCTTGCACGTTTGGATGTCAATGCCGCTTCACTGCCATGTATTCTCCTCTCTTCTCCCCTGTCCGCTCTGTCCTGTACAACCGACTGTCTTGTCTTTCCCTCTCTTCCTCTCCGTCCCTCTCCTCCTTGTCACCTCCTCGCGTTGCGTGACCGTATCCGTACTGCTGGGTTGCTTTCCCTTCCCCTTCACTTCGCCCCACCCCACCCCAAGATATTTATTTTGAGGACTCTTCGACACCCCCACCCCCCTGTTACCGACTTATAACCCCACCCTTCCTCCTCCATATCCCTTGTCCGGACCGTGACATCACCCTACCACCCCGTCTGATTCCTTCAAATACAACTGTGGTACATACCACCCCCTCAAAGATACACAATCACCCCTATGATCCTCATGGGGGTTCCATCGATCTTTCCCACCCCCACCCCGACTCTGACTGCCAACTACCCCATGGGATTGTGACCCCCGTCAGATCAATCACCCGTCAATACGGCAGTACGAGCAATCTGAGGATATGGTACACTTTATAAAACATGTTTTAGCATTTTGTACCAAGTTTTTTTTAAAAAAGACATTAGATGCACTTTTTGGCTCAAAAAAAGATTGGGTTGCCCTCTTCATATTCCTTGGAGTTTCTGGATCTGAATTTTTGAATTTTTCCTATCACAATTCAAAATCTGAAAGCAAACTGAATATTTTTGGAGCCTCTGAGATTTAACTGGTTCGCAGGGGTCAAAAGTTCAGTCAAAACTGTTGACCAGAATGATGGCCGACCATTACATCCCGCCGTTTTAAAGCGGCCGGGTTAACCGTTAGTAAACCCCGGGCCGGTCTGAGTCCGAGTCCGACACTCAGTCACTCAGTGCGCCGCTCGCCCCGGCCGTCAGTGCCGCGCCGCATCACAGCCGCTCGGAGTCCGATCAAAGGTACCGTTCGGCCGCGAGTCAGGCTCAGTCTCGGCCTCCGATCGCCGAGGCAGCCCGGGCCCGGGTCCGACCCGGCGGGGCCCGCGGCCCGGCCACGTTTCCCGGACGGCGAACTTCGGAAGTATACGGGGGCCGTACTTTTATTCTACCAGAGGGTGACTGCCAGAGCCTACGGTCTCCGACAGTTCAACTGCTGACAGTGCAGGCCGCGCGGCCGCGCTGACTCGGATGTGCCGGTGGATGTGGAGGAGGACAAGAGCGTCGGCTGCCGCGTACCTCACCTGCTCCTCCTGCAGGGGCCTCGCGGACCAGTCGGAGCACTGCTGGGCCTTGTCGATGGTGCGTCCTTGGAAGAGCCTGCGAGCTCTCAATGGCGCGGAAGAGAGGCGTGCAGATATGAGGAAGGGAAGGGACTGAGGGGAGGAAGGGAAGGGAGGGGAGACTGAAAGAATTTCGGGAAGGAGAGACTGGTGAGTAGGATGGAGGAGCTTGCTGAGAAGCACCAAGAAGGAAATGGGCAGGAGCAGGAGCAGGAGCAGGAGCAGGAGCAGGAGCAGGAGGAGAGAGAAAACGGAAGTAGGAGAGGGGTCAAGCACCTCTCGTACACAAGTCGGAGAGAGGGAGGACGGCTCGTGCGTCCGATGCCGCATGCGATGCTGAGCTGCTGAAGGTCGAGCACTCGCGCTGTGCTGAGAGACAAGTCAGGAACGATGTGCCTGCCAGGAAGGAAGACATTAGGCGATGATGGAGGGAGAGGAGGAGGAAGGAGAGGAGGAGGAGGAGGGAGAGGAGGAGGAGGAGGGAGAGGAGGAGGAGGAGGAGGAGGAGGAGGAGGAGGAGGTAGGAGGAGGAGGGAAGACGAGGAAAGAGAGAGGAGAGGAGGAGAGAGGAGAGAGGAGAGAGGAGAGAGGAGG